TTAGTAGTGACCACCAATTTGGGTTCAGCATAAATGATCAATAAAGCTTGTATTGTATGACGAATTACATTCGAAGCATTTTCAGGTACTATTATATCAGAAGCATAGAAAAAGAAGTAGATTGATTTCATGATAATAAAACATAAATAAGACAACTAATTACGTATAATGACTTACGAGCAATAACGATAGCTGCATTGTAGAGATCGAGAAATCGTGTGACAGAACTATCTGATTTACTTCGAAAAAATTCATATTGTTCAATTATTTGTCGTAATGAAAATTCATAGTTAGGTGGAGGTGATGGTACATGATTGACACACCAGCGTACCAATGTCATATTACGTTCATATATACTTGTTTGTGTTTCAACTGCGAGTAAATCTTGATATTTAGCCAAGAGATATCTTTCTTCAGAAGTTATATCAGCATTATCGATCCGAACTTGTTCCTTGGTCATGGGTACGAAACACCAATATTCAGGATGACATTTTAAGAATAGTTGCAAAGCAACAGAACATTGTGTTGAATGTGTATACAGTTTTTTTTGACAATCAGGAATTAATCTAAATATATCGAGCTGAGTGAAAATGTCAATGAAAGCATAGGATGGAGTATATGCATACGGATCTGGTTCTCGGTCGTCTTGTAGACGATCAGCCACGATTTGTCCAATAAAAAAATTACTGATAATTCGACATCCATATGTACGATGATCTAAATCTCTATCTCGATCAACATAGAGTTTTCTGTTCACTCTCACTTACTCTGCATCCGATCGCGAAATGATACGTGACATCGACCGATATAATCATAACGATGACAAGGACATGTCAAAGCATAGATCATATTGGATGTTGTACATGTCTAACGACGATGATGATTTGTTGCTAAGAGTTTAGAACAACGTGAACGAATGATTTCAACTTACGACATCACTATTCAAATTAGACCTGATAATTATTCACAAACCGATGAATTTGCTTGTTTGAAAAATTCATTGCTCGTTCAAGTCGTTTCGTTAAATCAGATCGCTCATAACAGAAACGACAATTTCGATCTTCACATTTTTTCATACCATAGTAAGCTATTGGTTCAACATTACAAAATAGACCCGTATAGTTCCAAAGTCGTTTAGAATTACGAAATGTACATGTCTTCATGTAGAAACATGACACTAAAATGAATGGGAGCGAAAAACAGGAAAAACAAGCATTTAGTTAGTAGTCACGATCTCTGTCGAGAATTGTTCGAACAAACCATCCATTTGTAAATAGAATTCTAAAACCATGAACCATTCTTCCATAGATAATTCATAGGATTTTTCTTGTTTTTTTATAAAATAATCTTGTAATGTAAATCGAGAAAGAAGATGAAATAATCGATTTAAATTGATCATTAAGATTATTCGATGAATATTCCATTGGCGAGCATAGGAATCTAACCATTGTTGTACATCGAGTCGAAGTTTAACGTCAAATTTGAGTAACATATTGGCGTAGTTATCATCAAAACGATGTGCTTGTCGAAGTCTTTGTTCGATCGTCGACAACTCTTTCACTAAATTAACAAAAATATCATTAAAATTAAACGGAGAAATAGAAATAATCCGACGGATGAATACATACGAGGTATATTTGCTAAAAGTGGATAAAATTCATCGGCATCACTGCAGATAGGAAAGACAGGGAGAAAAGATTGTTGAAGAGTCGTCAAAACTACCGATGGACGTATCTGACACAACCGAGAGGTATTTTCATTGATCGATATTGGTAGCCATGGATGTTTTTCTTGTGGTGGTTGTTCTAATGAAGAACGTGAATTTGTTGTCATAGTATCCGATGTTTGTACCGATGCATGGACAACATTGTTTTTAAATCTTGGATGATGTGCCATAGTTGGTGATGCACTTCAAGAATCTGAATAGAATAAAGAAGTAGGGTGTCGAATGGGAATGAATTCGATTTGAATTACATGATGAATCATGTAGTAAAACATCGGTTGAAAGTAAACGTTGACGAAACATGTTCGTTTTTAAGCAATCGATGATTTGTGATCGAATACACTCTATCGATTCATGATCTACAAATAATGTTTGAATAGGTCATTTTAAATTAACATGAGAAGGAAAGTTAGAAAATGTTTCTTCTCAGTAGGATGAATGT